AGTTTCTCTCTGTTGCTCACAAAGAAAAAGCATTACCTGCAATGTCCTTTCTTTTTTACTGAAAATCTTAAATGCTTTTACACTCTTTACATTCTAAATGAGATGAAATCTTTCCTGAGAATATGTGTTCTTAAAAAATAGAAAATTTTTAGTGTATGATCAACTTTTCTAGATGAAAAAAATAAATTACCAGAATTTAACCACCACGTCATAATAGATACTACACAAAGTAACTACACACAGTAAAAACAAAAGAATTCTCTCTGTTATTCTCCATTTCTTCTAAACCCTTGCATTCTGAGTTATCATCACTGGGGAGAAAAAAATTCCTGAAAGTTTAACTCTTTTTTACTTGAACTTTTTCAAAGTCTGTCTTCTAGTATGTTGTTAGAGTCAATGAGAGGTTGTCAAAGGCTCTCTTTCCAGGTACTAAAAATAGATAAGAAGCTGTGTTTCTGGGTTAGGCTAAATGTATATCCTAAAGATAAACTCTAAAGAATTTTTTTTAAACCATTCAAGTAAAATTCACTTAGGTCTCAATTATCTGGCCACTTGGAGTTGAAATGGTTAGCAGCTTGAAGTTTGAATTGATTAGATCAATTGAACATAGATCCAGCCATTCACTGTGGAGTGACAGTTACCAGGTGTGGGGCTGCCTCTCCTAGAGCCAACATACTAACTCAGCTGAGACTACTCCAGATCTCTTATTATGCTCAAAAACAGCACTCATCATATCTGTTTGTCTGATGAGGTATATATACAGAGAAGTGTCCAAAGCATATAGGCAGTTTAAGAATGTTGATAAACACAATAGAAATTGGCTTTCCACTTACTATATTTAGCATTTTCTATATGCCTACTGAAAGCTTCCCAAGACTACCATGGCCAAAGTTCCATGCTTGTCATATGATGACCGTTAGTCATTGTCCTTATCCCTAACAAAGCACTTATCCCTCTTTGATCTCGTTGCCCAGAACTCACCCATGCACCAGTGCTCACACACAAAACTCATTAAGGACATGGACTGTATCTTATTTTCACTGCATCATCATGGCCAGGCATCTAGTAGGTCACTTAATAAATAAGTGATCACAAATGAATGAACGAATGAATGAATTGAAATAAATATGTGACCATAATTGTTTTCAAGTAGCTTCAAGCAGAGTCAGAGAAGGGAAAATAGTAAAACAGTTTAATACAATTTGCTAAGTGTTTTGATAAGGAGAACCCCCGATGGGGAAATTCAGATTGGGACTGGCAGCCACCTAGGCCACATTTTCTTGGAAGTGATGTGGTGAACCTTGGTGGAAGAGTGGGTATCACCAGTTGAGTGAAGCGACAGAAAAGGCATAAAACAGAAGGAACAAGAGTCCTGGCAGTTTGAGATGCCATCGAGGGACTAAGGTATAGTCTAAGTCTGAGGTTCTTAATCCATCTCTTCACTTGTGCTTTTTTCTTTTCTGGCAAATGTCTTGACAGGAAAATCCAAGCCCTTGCTTTCAGAAGATTTGCCACTTGGTTTCCTTAAAGTCTCCACCACCATGCTCCCTCGTTCCCCTGAGAAAACCTAATTGAAAGGTTCTGGTTGAATTACTTAATCTCTCCATCTCCTCCTATCAAGTTTTTGCCCAGGCCAATTATGGCTAATATTGCCATTTTATAAATGATTGTAGCAAATGCGTCTCAGAGTTCAAATTTTAAAATGCCATCTCTTTTAATATTAGCAAAATGATGGTTCAAATGGTCTCTGACAAACTCATGATGCACACCTCAAATGACATATTCTGGATGAATATTGATTTCCTTTTCATTTTTTTCTTTGATGTTGCGAATTCTTGACAATGCATTCCCAGGATAATATTTTGAGGTAACATGCACTGTACAATTCAAAAAAATCCAGAATGTACTGTCTTTTTTCCTGGACCAGACCTTATTCCTTCAGAGGCCAGGTAATATTTCTTCAGCGGCTCCCTGATTCAAGTCATTAACTATACAGGGATGTTTCTTACTCAAAAACCTGGTTCTTGGAGTAGCAGAAGAACCCAGGTTCTACCCTGGGTCTACTAAGTCATAACCTGCATTTTAACTAGATCCCTACATGATTTGCAAAAAATTTAATAGTGCACCTATGCACCTACTCCAAATGATTGTTAGGGAATGTTTGGGATACAGTATAGAGACAAAATCCTCAGTCAAATTCAGGCTTGGTGGGAAATGGGATAACACTGACTAGTGAGATAGTGATGACCTTAGGAGTGAGTATTTTAATTGCATCACCAATCTAAATGTATCTCAACTCTCCTTCGTCTCTGACTCTATCAAATCAACTACCTTAAATTTCCCCACAACATCTTTCTAATTTGGTCAAGTCAAACTTTGCATTGTCTTGCAAATGTTGTGTGTCTTTACTTAACGTAGTAGTAAGAGTCCTCCAAAAGAACACAAGTAATAGGATGTGGTCACACATATATGAAGAGATTTATTACAAGGTATTGGTAATGCAATTAAGGGAGGCTGGCAAGTCCTAAAATTGGCAGGATGAGTTGGCAAGCTGGTGACCCAGGAGAGCTGACGGTTTAGTTCCACCCCAAGTACAAAGTCCTGACAATCAGGACAGTTGATGATGTAGGTCCACTCCAAAGGCCAGCAGGCTCAAGACCCAGGAAGAACTGATGTGTGTGAAGGAAGGAAAAAACACCATGTCCCAGTTCCAAGGCCACCAGAAAAAAAGAATTCTCTCTTAGGGGAGAGATAGCCTTTCTGTTCTGTTCAGGCCTTCATCTGACTGGATGAAACCCACTTACATTAGGGAGGGCAATCTGCTTTACTCAGCCTACACAATGTTAATCTCTTCCAAACACCCTTATAGGCATAACCAGAAGCATCTGCCCAAACATCTAGGTGCCCCGTGGCACAGTCAAGCTGACAAATATTTATAATGTCCCCATTCCCTGGAAATCTCCTCCTTCCACTGCACGTCTTCCTAAAGCAGAGCTCAAGACTTTTTGTTCTCAGGAAGTTTTCCCTAACTCCCCTTCATGGATTTCTTGTCTCAATAGCCTATAGCAGTCAGAGAGTCAGTACTACTTGTGGTCAAAACCTGCTCCTTGGAGTAGCAGCAGTAGCAACAAGGTGATTTATTTTTTATTTATTTATTTTTTTGAGATGGAGTTTTGTTCTTGTTGCCCAGGCTGGAGTGCAATGGTGCAATCTCGGCTCATCATAACCTCCATCTCCCAGGTCCAAGAGATTCTCCTGCCTCAGCCTCCCAAGTAGCTGGGTTTACAGGCATGCACCACCACCATGCCTGGCTAATTTTGTATTTTTAATAGAGACGGGGTTTCTCTATGTTGATCAGGCTGGTCTCAAACTCCCAACCTCAGGTGATCCACCTGCCTTGGCCTCCTAAAGTGCTGAGATGACAGGCGTGAGCCACCACGCCAGGCCTGTTTTTCTTTTCTACTCTAGTTTTTGGTGTGTTAGATTTATCTCTACCCAGCTGGTAACATATTTTATGATAGCATCCATCTGAAGGCAGGAATCCAGTCATATGTTTACTGCAAACCTCATAGTTCTCAGATGCTCCCCAAATCCTGGCTAATTGATAGTTTTTTATTTTACAAAGTAAGTTCACAGAAATATTTATCTTAGTATTTTTTGTACTAATTAGAAGATACCAGAATATCCTTCCTGCAAGAATTGCCATTGAAACTTGAGCATTGTTATTACATGTGCATGAACTGGGACCTTCTTAAGACTATGTTGAATTTTTACAGTACTATTTTGTTTAGTACATAAAATGACACCAGTCCAGAGTGTCATTGAATCCTACCATTGATACTGATTTTGCTGAAAAAAAAAAAAAGTCAGGAAATGGTCTGTTCATATATGTAGCCTGCATGATATTGAATAGGAGAAATTATATTGTAATGTCCTAGAATCACAGCAGCCGGGCAGTTGAGAAAGGAGATTAATGACAGGACACAGAAAGGACCACAGTGCTGCACAATGAGAAGGTTTGTTTGCAGTCCAGAGTCCAAGCAGCAAATGACTCTTCCTACCCAATGGGGTTTAAAATGCTCATTGGTTCACTTCAGCAAATTGCAAACTGGCCATGGTCAAAGAGATAAGACTAAGGTGACATAGAAATTGCAGGAGAGTACAGAACTCTGAGGCACCTGCAACTCCTCCCCAATGACAGTCATTAGGTCTCTTGAACACACAAGGAGGAAAGTGATGGGCATGTAGGGGAGAGTTAGGAAATGAGAGGAGAAACAAGTAGATCTCAGTTTAACCCAGTCTGTATTCCTGTCCGCGAGACCAGACAGTTGCCATTGCCAGACCTGTTCCTGGTCTCAGCATCAGTGTTTGTCCTCTTAGCAGCTCCAAGGGCTAGATTCACCACATTCTCTCTGGCAATTACATTGGATCATTAGCTACCTATTATTTGATAGACTTATTCTCACACTCATGACACCTTCTCTGGGACTTTTCCCTCTTAAAAAACGAATCCTTACTTATCTAGACTCTCTACACTTGAAGGAGAAAAGAGGACACTTAAATAAAAAATTTTTTAAGAATGTGTTTTGGGAAGGCCTGGCCAATAGTTGCAGAGTCTGGTGCAAGAGTATAAATGGAGTTCCATATACCATCTGTCTAGATATTTAAAAGTTTAAATTAAGCCAGCAAACTCTTAAATGAAATACATCCCATCCTTTACTACAAAGGAAGGTTCAAATTCAGGATGCTTGCAGTCTTCAAAGGTCCACACTGAAATGTGGCAGCAGGTAGGGGAGACTAAGCCATTAGCCTTCTGATTTTGCTGGATCCCTTAATATTCTTGCTCTTGGCTCCATATTGTCTGCACAGCAAGCATGAGTGCTGTGTGAACATCCATGGTGGCCTTTAGGTGTAGTTTGATCCACAACCACCCTCACAAAACAAAAACTAAAACAGAAAAACACAAACTAGCTGTTTTTAATCAAGATCTTGGGATTTGGCATAGTATACCCTTTGGAGAATGGATAAGGCAAAGAGGCCACTGCAGGTCCGACAGGTTCAGAGCCTTTCAGGCAGAGAATTCTGGAGTCTCCAGAATCCAGACGATAGTCTTAGAAGTAGGGTACACAGACTTAGTGGAAAGGGGCATAGCCAACAGATATCCAGAGTCAAATCTCAAATGTAGGAGCCCAGGGCAAGGAGTTCTCTTCCCGAGCTCAGGGGAAGTACTGAGGCTGGGGGTGGGGGCTCACGGGGGATCGTGTACATTACAACAACCACTTGCCACCGTACAGCAGAGAAAATGCAGAGAATACAACTTGATGGAAAATTCACACACATACTGCTCAGGTCAGAGAGTTAAGAGCTGTCGTCTCAGGAAATTTCCACACAAACAGGCATCTAGTATTTTCAGCTGATCCTGGAAAAAGCTCAAGTCCTTCACACAGAGCAATTGGGAAAGCCTCCATATACTTAGTGTCAAATGTATAAATGAGAATTCAGACCTGCCTGTGATTTTACTAAATTCTCAGAGGCAAGATGCAGACCCTCAGCATAACAAAGACAGGATACAAAAAAGAGGTTCCCAGAAGCTAAAAAAGGAAGAATCAGGACCATCTGAGGTCAACAATTATATTCTTGGTCAGAGATCCTGTGATATACTCTTATGGTTTATGGTATAGCAAAATTGTATAGTTTTCCTTTCTGAGTCAGCATTCAATCATTCTAAATATATCCCGTTGTTATCCTTATGAATCCTCTAAGTTGTATTATTTATAGATACTTACATAGGCAGTAGTAGTGTGTTGGAGCCAGCTCGGACCAGCTCAGGAGAATCAAATGTGCAAGATGCTTTTCAGCCCTGTCTTCAGGGACTTCAGGAGGATTGCTTAAAATTGGCCCTGGTGTGAGCACTTTTAATATCATGGGAATTGGCAAATACTGAAAATCTGGGCTTTTCTTCCCCTGGAGAGCCTTTTGTTACAAATTTACTAGCACACCACTGTACCTAGGCCTAAAGTGGGTAAAAATATCAGATAAGTAGCTCTCTTACTTAATGAGGCTAATTTCTGGGTAGACTACATTTTTATCACCCACAAACACAATTTATATATTCATATCTAAATCTTATTTCAATACATCGTTGTCCAAATACTTTAGGTTTTCTAAAGGTTATAAACCAAAATATCAGTGTTTAAAAATTGTTAATGTTATCTCCCAGATAATTTTATCCAAACATGATTTTAAAACAATGAATTATTGCCCAAAAAGACAATAAAAATTAGTTCTGAGTTTAGGAAAATTGGGGGAAAAATTCTCCTGCACCTGGTCAGAAAGTGCTATTTAGCTTTACAGAATAAAGTTGAAGGGCACAAAGGCATTCTCACATTGATGGTTTCACTCTGGGGTTTTCTGAAACTGCCTAGAGCACCACATCCAAAAACAAAAACAAAAACAAAACAGGTGTGTGCATTTCCTATGGGAATCTGTCATCTCTTTGGTACTCCTCTCTTCTAGAAAGTAAGAAAAATTCAAATTTCCTCCTTCAAGTCATGCTTCAACACGCTGAGGGCAGACACCACACACCTGCTCCTCTGTCCCAGAATGTCAGTCATCATCAGCGGGAAGGCAGGCAGGGACAGGGAGCAGGTACGGGGGACTGGCAGCCACCTGAAGAACGGGACACAGCCGTGGTTATTCTCTATGTCTGGTGGCAGAAAGTCACAAAATTTGGAAAAGTCAGAACTGCAGAGCAAGCTAGCTACATAATTCCTTTACTGGAAATAAAGATGGAAAACAGTTGTTATGGCTTGTCAGCTTTCAGCAGGTTGGGAGAATACTAACCACACGTGCCATTACTCCATTCTTGTGCTAACTTATTTACACCACCTGTGAAGACAGAAAACCACGGGCTAGAAAGAAATTACCTTGACAACTTCTTTTGCCCAAAGAGCTGTTGTGTTTTCTCAATGCTCTAGTCTAGACTTGTTTTAAAAACACATTTGAGGAGTTGCACTGGAAAGTTTCTCATTTGAATTTACTTTACGAGTTCTGACCTCGCTGGGGTTAATTTGTCTAACAAAAAGTAAATACTTTGATTCCTAACCAAATTTTAAAAGATAAATATCTTCTTTAGAGTAAGCATTATCATGTAGACATCCATTAATTGACTGTAATTGGTAGGTTTAAGAATGGGCCCCCAAAGATATCCAAGTCCTAATCCCCAGAACCTGCGAATATGTTCTGTTACTTGGCTAAAAGGACTTTGCAGCTGTGGCTAAGCAGAGGGGTGGGGGAAAAGGGTCCCTGGATATCCAATTGAGCCCAATGTAATCAAAAGCATCCTTGTAAGAGGGCAGAAGGAAGGTCACAGTGAGAGAAGCAGAGATTTGAAAACATTACCCTTCTGTCTTTAAAGATGAAGCAAGAGGTCTCAAGCCCAGTAATACAGGCAGCTTCTAAAAGGAGGAAAAGGCAATTTAGTGGATTTACCCATAGAACCTCGAGAGGAGCACAGCCCTGCAGACACCTTGATTTTAACCCAGTGAAAGTCACTGAGGTCTTCTGACCTCCGGAACTGTACAAAAATAAATCGGTGTTGCTTTAAGCCACTAATGTGTTATATTAGCGGTAGGGAACTAATACATTTATGAAGCAAGACTTAAAAGTCTGTTCAACTTTTATGGGGGAAATGGTATCCAAAATCCACAAAATTGGGGACCATATGATTACATTTCACCATGCAGTTACAATTATATGCAAATGACTATCCACGACCTTATACTCAAGGTGGTTGTGTTTCAACAACAGTGTTTTCATTTTAATTCTAGAGGATACATTTTAGAGTTGAAAAACGTATGATACCATTAGTACACATAGCCATATTTAAAATATGAACGCAGATTCAGCACTGCTGAAGTAAACAGGTTGCTGGTTAATTCTGATAACTTGACTTTTTGATGAGTAAAATCTCACATTCTGTGGAAATGGAGTTTGTGTGCATGTGTGCAGTTAACTGGAAAGATTGTAGGAAGCAAAAGAGCCTATTTTAAGAATGTTATCTAAAACTTCAAGGGAAGTCTAAGTTTGATTCTCACTCCCTACTACCTCAAAAATAAAACCAAAAATAAGGCAGGGCCATGTGCCAGGTCAGGTGCCAAGGTGTGCAGGGGAGGGACAGCCCAATAGTCACTGGCTCGTAAACAGTGGTGAGTGAAACTGATGGGGTACCAGTAGAACAACCTCTTCAGGAGAAGCAGGCAGACGAGGCTCAATTCTACAAATGAGCCATACGCCAAGGACTATGGGTTTTCACCAACTTGTCTCTGACCTTAGAAACCAAGAGACCAAATGAAACCAAAAACAAACATACAAAAAGCACAAACAGAAAAATCCCCCACAATTCTCTGAGGAGGAGGCTTATTTTGGAGAGAAGCTCTAGCCAGCTGGAGCGAACTTCTCTTTGTTGCTGTTTACATATGGTGGGTACACTGGGCTGACTGTGGAAGGCATTGTGAAAGGTGGCAGCCCTGTGAAAAAGCATCTCTCACATTCATGTAGTTACAAATATTAAGGTAATGGAATGTTGGATGGCCATTTCTGAAGGCTGCTACCTTGACGGGATTTGGGGAAAGTATCTGGGTTGGGGGACAGAACATCACAAACTCTGAGTCATCAGTCTCCCTTTATTTAGCAAATACAGGGTTATTTAGGGGACTCTGGATATAAGCCTCAGGACTGTGTAGTGAGCCACGTGCAACAGCATTAAGTCCTGACCCATATCCACCTGACCTGGAATTGGTGAGTAAGACCCTTAGAAGAGGAGTACTCACCGATAGTTTTCCAAAGACTACCAAAAGCTAGAAACTCCTGTCTGGATGAACAAGGTGAGGCTGTCCTGATGCCCTTGCTTAGAAAGGCTACATTAATTTCTGTCTCCACTCAATTGTTCCCAACAGACCATTCTTACGTTTGCAGCAGTGACCACAGTTCTCCATCTCTTACTTTCATGTCTACCTAGCTGGGGACGCTTTAAAAAATTGTGCATGAGAGGAACATGCATCATGCCAGTGTCTCCTCTGTCCCCTTCCCCACCCATGACATTAAAGCTGATCAATTTAGACCCTGAATTAGAAGTATATAAACTATATTGATTCACATGCCTCTTTAAAATTCTAATAAAAAATGTGTCCACGTCCTCCTCCCCTAGACAGGAGATTGTGTGTATGCAAATAATTATATACCAAATGCAACATATATTTGCATAAGTTCATGAATTCCCCTAAAGTTCATTTACAGAAGACCACGTAAAAAAAAGCCCTCACCTTAAAGGATTATTTCACTCTGTTTTGGGGTTGCCAAGAGCTTTAAAAAGAGAGAGGGAGTGCAATGATGTATGTGCTTTTTTAAAACAGACAGCTTGGTTCTTTCTATGAGTTGCTGAAGAGTTGAAAAGCAAATAAACGTCAATAGATCTGAATCCCAACATTGTTTAATGACAACCTTTCCATATTTGCCAACTTGCTGCTTAACAACAATCCTGTTGACACTGTGTAAAAAGCTTTCCAGGTCCTCCCAGGTAAATAACCCACTCCTACAGGTCACCTGGCCACCCAACCGAGCTCTTTCATGAATACACACAGAATTCATGAAGATGAGTCATTCTTTTTGCCAAATGTACCTTGGCGTATTATAGCTTCTACTTCTTTATGCTCTCATTTCTTACACTAATCTCACAAAGACAATTGTAACAAGAAAGCCAATTTAAGTAGAAATCTATGACAGAAATGATAAAGAATAAAATGTCCGTATTTGTGAACATTGTAAATGCCTAATTTTTCTGAATCATTCGGGTTTGCATTTCTCTAGTATGTTTAGCACATTTGATAGATGAAAAGGGCGTTTTTTGGGCGGGAGGAGGGATTTATTTCATTTGTTCCTGAAGTTAATCCTCATAAAATGATGTGAAATTTGGTGATATGTTACTGGGAACAAAAAGGGTAAGTTGTTTTATTTCATTAAAAATTATAACAAAATCATAGATTCATTATAAGCAAATGGGAGAAGTGGTAGATTTCCTTTGGAAGAAAAAGAAAGGAGCAGAACTTTTGATGAAGTAAAAGAATTGTAGGGTAGAAAGTAGATAAACAGCATTGTGCTGTTGCTGGCTGGCTCTAAGGGTAATTTGATCGCTCTCAGAGCAGCAGCCTGGCACGAAGCCTGAAGAAGCACAGAACTAACCCATGGAAGAAGGGGGTGGGGAGTGGAATTTGTTGGATTCGCTAATTAGGCCCTTCCCTAACAGCCAAGAAGGAAATGGATTACCTGTGGCTGTGACTTAAGAGACTTATGGCCAACAAGCCACGTTACCTGCATGGAATTCTGCCAAGAAGTATTAGAATAACTGTAGCTTTCACAGTGGTTTTACTCAAGTTTGGAAGGCAAGCAGGAGTATCTGGAAAAAGTCAGTGACAGTTTTAACTTTGAACAGCAAATGAAGTTAACAAAAAGATTAAGTCAAAAGTGATTTAAATTGCTAGAATAAATCTGAATTGCCAGAATTCAGGTTGAAGGCAGAAAGATCAGCAAGGACAGACTTCTGCTATAAGGGGGGCCTGGATTGGAATTGCAGTATAATGAAATTTTAGAGGACAGAAGCACATTAGATATTTCATTTTCCCCTCACTCTTGCATTTTGCATATGAGGAAACTCAGGTTCACAGGGTTTCTATATCACTACATGACTTACCTAAGATTCTGTACTTAAGGTCAAACCTAATAGGTTCTGGAGCCCCTGAGGACTAGTTCAGGGACACTGAAAATAGAGAAATGGATGCAAGAGGTACTGCAGTGAAAAACCAATGTCAATTAAGAACAACTGAAGAAGGTGCAACTAAGTGGAAAAGACACCAGATTGTAATCAGGTATTGCCATGATTGACAACTAATTTTAGTGCTTTCTCCCCCATGGAAGGCTGATTTTAGCTTTTTCTTGGGTTAGGACCTTATTTTTTTAAGTACATTCTAATCACCCTTTCCATAGCCATGTCTGCAGGAAACCATAAACAGCAGACATAGTGAAGGGATTTTTACCACCACAAATTGTCAAGAAAATAACATAATCTATACTGTTCCTCTTATTTAAATACAAAGTCCTTAGAAATGTTATTCAACTATTTGTACATCTCTAGAATGATTTCAGATAGGGACTTCTAATTACTTCTATAGCTATAAATTGAGAACAATATTAAGCTGAATCTAATCATTACTAGATTCTACTATTACCATAAACTTTAAGGAGCTGAAGGACTAGAAACCTGCAGTAAGAAGAAAGGGACATCTTGGCTGTATTGTTAATACATATAAATCTTAGCTCTCATAGAACACTTTCCAAAGCTTTTTAATATCACACAAAAGTAGGGGAAATACTTCTTGGAAGTTTTCTGCTGTTTAATAAGGAAATTTGTCTATTGGAATATCATTATTATTATTGAATCAAGAAAAATGCATCTGTGTTCTGTATAAAGTTCATTTAAATTGTTAAATGATTATTTCAGATGTCACTATCTTAGAATTTGTAGAAATAAAACATCTTCAATATAACTATTATTTTGGTGTTTTGTGCTCATAGATAACAGAAAGAGTGATTTAAGATGCACTTTAAAAATATATGGATACTCCCAAGGAAAAGCTAAACAAAAAAAAAGCATAAAATTAGTTCTAAATCATGCTAATACATGATCTCAATTTTGCATCTTTTTTACTAATTAATAATTTATTCTATTGTTGTAGATCTACAATTGGTTTTTCATAGTCTTGGATTAAAACACAATGTCCATTGATGGGCATCTAATGTAAGACAATGGGAAAATTTACGGGAGCCCCTATTTTAAGCACTCTATTAAATGAATACAAAGAGATTAAATGAAAGAAGTGGACCTTGTCCTTTTTATTTTCATAATTTTTATTTTCTGAGAGAAATTATTTTAATTTTGCATGACTATTTAGGTATAATGAGAATAAACCATTTGAAAATAAGCCAGTGGTAGTAGTTTATAAAAGCATTTGACACAAAGGAGAAAATGTCTAACATATTTTGACCATCTCTTGAAAAGGATATGATAAATATTAAGTATTATAACAACATAATTTTTTTGCTGTTAATCACCAAAGCCCATAAGATAAAACCTCATCTAAAGGCTGTGTTCAAAAGAGGTAGAATGTACAGAAGTATCAATGGATATTTATGAACTACAAATTCAAAACTGTAAGAGCATTTTTCAGAAAAAAGCACAGCATAGCACATCACTTATCTTTTAGATATTCATAATTTGAATAGTCCATAGCCATAGCATTTGAAATAGGCAGTATTAAAGAGGAAGTTGTCAGTGGATATTTAAATACTAGGTCTTGCTTCTTAAGCAGGAAATGGCAATAGCAATGACCAAGCAAGTGTTGAATTCATTCTGCCAGGATTTGGGAATAAACTGATGAAGTTTCAAGCAGAGTGACTCTGCATATCACCCCCATCTCCAAGAAGCTGCCACAGCAAGGGCTCTCAGTTATATTTCCAGTAGAATTATCAGAAAGCAAATGTTAAATCAGAGCACCAACTTACCATTCAGAGAACTTCCATATTACTCATGGTATTTGGACAATTCAAATAATGCAAGGGAAGCCTGGAAACAACCAGAGTTCACCTTCAGTTGCTGGTACTTGGAACTTACTGGAGCCAACCTACAAATGCCAACATATTGTCTTGTGTCCTCCTTTTCTTTTCTGTTTAAAATTTGTGTAAATATGCACTAATTATTTTTATCATAAAAAGATTAAGTCTGGCTGAGTGTGGTGGCTCAGGCCTGTAATCCCAGCACTTTGGCAGGCAGATCATGGGGTCAAGAGATCGAGACCATCCTGGTCAACATGGTGAAACCTCGTCTCTGCTAAGAAAACAAATATTAGCTGGGCATGATGGTGCACACCTGTAGTCTCAGTATTTGGGAGGCTAAAGCAGGAGAATCACAAACCCGGAAGGCGCAGGTGACAGTGAGCCGAGATGGCACCACTGCACTACAGACTAGCAACAGAGCAAGACTCCATCTCAAAAAAGAAAAAAACAATAAGTCTTCTAAAATACACAAATAGATTTAGAATTTTTGTTTTTATTTATCAACTTCCAGTCTATAAATATTTTTGTATTATACATTCTAGTGTGACACACGTCAGGCGTCTGAGTCTTCCTGCTCATGTGCCCATGCCAGCTGAGCTTCCGCGCTCCTGTGCTCTTACACACCTGTCCTGTCCTACGTGATTGCAAATTATCTAATTGCAGATATTCTCACTGTACTGATAGTGAAAGAAAAAGGCAAAGTCACTCAGGTCTGAGAGTTATAAACCTTAAAAGAAATCTTGGTAATCTCTAGGCATTAATAACCTTAATAATCTTTTATTCAGGCAACATAATATTACCCATTATAATTCCATTAACGCTATGTATAGCATCTTCTTTTAATCACCGAAAGATGAACTATTACGAATTCATAGCACTATGTAAATTCCAGTCTTGGATGGAGTTCTGTAACTATCTAATCACAAACACACAGATCCATGAAGAACCAGTTGGTTAAGAGAGGGAGAAAGGAAGAGAGAACTCTCATTTGATCTTGAATAATATTGTGTAAATTCATTAGTATCACTTATAGGAGAAAACAATACTGTAATTAAGTGTACAGTCTTATTAAATATTGAAATCTCTATTTTATGCCATTTGTAAAAATTCTTTGAAAAAAGCAAGGGCGCTCAGATGAAAGAGAGTAAGAGCCATAATTGAGCATTTGCTAGTACTGTTTATTGAACCAGTACTCACTGAACAAATGGAAAGCACTTGAAGGGGAAGAGAGATTCCTTTCCTTTCCATCTCATAAGACTAGACTTCTAAAATGTTTATGTACCCATTTTCCTAGACAAACATTTATGTAATCACACTGGTTGGTGCCAGTGTGCATGTGCTGTTGTTGGGAATGTTGTTGATGGGGAAATGGTACCAAGGTTGGGCAGACAGCAGAACTGTTACCTATATAAATGGAGAGAAACTGGGGCAACTCTCATTAGTTTATTCATTCATGAGTTCACTGACTGATTTATTCAATCTTTAATTTATTTCATGTCACATGTTTACTGAGAACCTACTGTGTTGCAAGCATTGAGCGAGACAGCGCTCCTCCTTTCAGATAGCTAAGTAGCCAGCTGAAAAGGAGTTGCTGAATTTTACAGAGGAAATAACTGAAATAACAACTTGGAGTATTTTCAGTAGTTTTAGTGGTTTGCTTCACTAACATAAAAATGTATTTCTTAAAAAAGAGAAAAAAAGTGAGTGGTGCAACAAAAATAAAAAATACTGTCCTAATTACAGATGTCCATCTGTGGGTCTATTAGTCTTAAATTACCAGTGATTAAATTCTAATTGTAGCACAGAAGCAAGCTAGTAGGCAGTTAAAAAAAAAAAAAAAAAAAAAGCAAACTCTGAAACAGAGTACAATAAATAAGGATAGCTTATCTATCTCTACATTTAAGCTATATCTAAGAACAAGCCTGTCTCCTTGCACACCATTTCTGTTTTCAAGAAATAAGAGAGAGTCTTCAATGAAGTTATGAATTTCTTATCCAAACAGAGAGCTAAAGTATGAAATATGCATCTTAGCAAGTGATAAACACTTTGAAAGGACAATTTGATGAATTTTCTCATTTGAAGCCAGTTTCCTTTGAGAAGCTAGACATATGTTTTATGTGTAAGTACATAACAACAATTCTATAGAAAAAAAATAAATCTCTTCTCCAGTTAACTAGATCAGTTGTTTGCAAGAAGTAGACAATAGAGTGTATTCCTGCTCTGCCATCCTGAGTTTTGCTTAGGGGCATGTAACAGTATCTGAAACTGCAAGGGCACCCACCCTTCTTCCTGCCGATTTCTTAGCCCATTACTAGAGTGCCTCAGGTATCAGCTGAGGTGTCCTCTTTTTCAACACAATGGAATGGACTTAAGCCTTATCCCACACATGGTGGGAACGCCATGTTCCTCATTCTTAGCATAAATTCTGACAGGGGAGGGGAAGGTGAGGGTGGTTTGTGCCTTTCCTGGCTAACTCTGGCTCTGAATTGCTTCTTCTAATGTTATGTTATGAATTGTGATGTTTCCCACAAGAGCTGTCTGTACTGTGCCACACAACCCCTGAAGCTGAATAAAGAATTTTCTCCTTGATTCCCCCAGCCCTCCAAAAAACATCAGGTGAGTGTGTAGCACTTTTTATTAAAGGCTTGGGGATAAAAAGGGAATTTATACAGTTATCCCAGTAGTGCTGCTGCTTCAGAACTTTCCTCAAATTTCTATTCCTTAGGCAGAAGAGTTATGCTCTCCACCCTTGCATAACCACAGACATATTAACAGGCTAGCATAAACAGGGGGTTATCTAGTCTTGCTCTTTCCCTGTAGTAGTATTAGAGACAGCCGTTGAAATCCAGGTCTTTGCTTTTGTCAGCCCCAATTAGACTCTTCAGGGAAGGGATTGGAACTGATTGATTTCTATTGATATGAGTTTGTCACTCCCCATATAAAGCAAAGTACATATAGTTGCTTTGGGTTTAAAAGAACAATATGATTTCTTTCCATTATCCTAGATGGCCTTCAGTATGACAGATTTTACTTGGCCTGCCACTGGATCACAGGAAAAGCCTCCATATGGACAGGCTTGGAGACCAGCCTCAAGACTTAAACTCTCATTGGTCACATCAGGATACTGTAATTAGTGAAAATAAATAAATAAATAAATAACCTACAGTTTCTTGATTATTTACTTTGTGCCTACATGATAACCTATATTCGCAACAACCAAGCAAAATGAGTACTAATATTCCCTATTTTACAGATAAGGAGACTGAGGTCAGAGAAATAACTTGCATCAGTTCACATGGGAAATGGGAGCAGGGCCAGATGTGGAACTGAGATCTGCCAGCTGGCAAGGCTGTGTGCCCTTTCCATCATATCCCAGTTCTAGGAGAAAAAGATGTCAAGCTGTATTTTCCATAGTATTTGACCTCCCAACCCTGGGAAACTTTGTTTTGGAGACTTTCTAAAACAGCCTCTCAGATTCTCACAGCAGGTGATGAGGTCCCATTGTAAATGACCCAGGGACATATAGCTTGTGACTTCAAAGGAGCCCTCTTCAAACCAGGGCAAATTTAGGCAAATTCCAGGGATATGTAAGCAAGTACTGAGTTAAGAAATATCCTAAAATCAATTGGTAAATTGTATGTTTGAAGTAAACTAAAAACTAAATTTCAGGATTGATGCTGGCTTTGGAGGAGTTGGGAAAAATCATTTGTTTGGAGACAAGAAGCATGTTATGCTGGTAGATGTGTGCACATGTGCTTCTGTAAGTGGGTATGTGCACTCCCACTTTTCCTGCCATGTCTTTAGAAAACCACTTAAATAAGGATGGAGAAATGTAGCATTGTAGCTTCCCTACAGTTTATTTTGTTTATTGCAATAATATATATAACACAGAATTAATTTCTAGGTGCACAATTGAGTGAAATTACTATATTCACATTGTTGTGCAGCCATCATCACTATTTAGCATAATGTTTTCAAGGTTTGTGCTACAGTTTTAAGTGTTTGCCTCTTTGCAGTTCCTCTTTGCCAACCCTGGATAATGGCAAAACTTCTTTAGTGGCATGCTGCGTGCTCTGTTTGGTCATGTTCAGAGATACCCAAGATAAAGAAATTTGATAAATATATAGATTAACTCAGCAAAAATAACACAGTTATCTTCTTAAATATTGCACCTGGGCACATCAGTAAAATTTAAAGTGACAAAAGGTGAGCATTGTATACACATTTTGCATATGTAGGTAGTAATATTTGACACTAGGAAAAATAATTTAAGTTGAAACACCTATATTTTAATTTAGTAAAGACTTGCCAAGCCCCTACTATATTAGAGATATCAAGATAATGAGATAAAGATTGCACTCTCAATGAAAACGTTAAATTATACATGTTTCTTGTGCCCATCATCAGCCATCATTATGAACATCACTCTGAACTGTTATGTACAGTAAGATAACTGGAGGGTTAAAAATGAAGGTTTTACTGCTCACATTGAATATTATTCTTAGAAAAGAAAGTCATTTCTATTATAGAGGAGGCATTGTGGTCTACTATATTGGACAGCATATAAAGAACAATGCCTTCCTGGTGAAATAATGCTCATGGCCTAGTCAACAAAATAAGCAGGGTGCTGAAAAAAGTTTAAATATCATATTTCATTAATTCTAAGACACATTTCCCCCTGCTTTTAGATTCTCAAATCGAAAGGCATCTTACAACCTATAGATGAAATCTAGTAAATAGAATAAGATAAAAAGTATCTTAGTTTCTATCCTCGGGTTGCTTGCCTTTCTTTTAAGGGAAGGTTTGTTTGATTTTTATGTTTCGTTTTTAACAGCTTGTTTGTGAATCTTCCCTTTTCTAGTGTTAATGATTGTGTGAGCCTAGAATTTAAATGGTGTAAAACTCTGACTTTTGTTTTTATTTTTTCTTCTGACCATTACTGGGTGGAGTACAGGACACTGAAGCAGAAACAAGGTCTGAAAGTGGCGATGTGGACCCTGCTCCTCTGTGGGGGACTCTGGTACCTGTCTGTGTCTGAATCTTTCCACTTCATTTTTCTAGCTTTGTGATCTGGAACAGATTAGCTTTAGCCTCTCTGTGCCTCAGTTTCTTCAAGTACTGAATAATGGTATCTACCTCATAATGCTGCTATGAGGGTTGAGCTTA